ATGCCTTCAGTGAGAATCTACAATGTAAATAGTCATGAAAATAAAGAAAACGCATTGAATGAGAAGGTGTGTCCAAACTTTTGGCCTGTACTGTACATACACATGTACATATATATATGATGTTATAACAGGATCACCATGTATAACATCTTAATCCAAATTAGTAGTGTCTGTTGACCACTTATCTACTGTATAAGTTGGTAATATCCTGTTGCAGACAATGTGTGTTTGGTACCATTCAATAGCAGACAGCGCCACGTTGATAAATATGGAAGTATTAGAAATGTTCCAAGCTTCATTAACCATCTAGGAAGCAATTAAAGTAAATTAAACTTTAAACTAAGCAAACGTGCAGGAGGGGAGGAATGAAATGTCCTGCCAGTGACAGTGAACTGCTCCTACTGGACATCAGCCTGAGAAGACAGCTGGCAAGGCCAATCACAGCGCAGAGGCCGGAGCCTGCCTGTTAGTCTCAACCCCTTGGAACAACTATAAGATGAGTGAGGTTAAAGAAGAGAGAGAGAAAGGAACAAAGAACTTGAAGAAGAACTTTTGAGAAGCCGGCGGGCCATGCTGGGCTCCATCCAGCGTGACCCGCCGGGCAGTTCCATGGCATCCTGGGCAGAACTGAATATGCTAGAACCCAACAGAAAGAACTTCATGCCCAAGTCTGCCCAAGTCCTGTGTCCTGGACCAACAAGGTCAGGACTGAAGAAAGGCAGACTCCTGCATGCCCACACTGGGTGTGTGAAGATGACCGACATGGAGAGACTCCCTCACCCAAGCCAAGGTTGCCATGTGGGCTCAGGAACACCCAAAACTGCCCCATGGGACAGCACCAGGAGCAGCACACCAAGGAGCAGCGATGCCTTTTCCTCTTCCCCCTCCAGAGCATCTTCTTCCTGGTCTGCTATAACTCAGGTGAAACAACATCATTTTCCTTTGCTGGGGTTTGATGCGTAGTTTAAGTATGGTAGGGAGCATTATATAAAACTAGGATTTCCCCTAAGTTTTCAGATGTTTCTCCTTTTTGCTTCCCATGCCTCTCAGCTGTTGAATGGTGCTTTTCACAGGTCCATGTCAACGTTTCCTCTGCTAATTATCTTACCATTGCTCACTGCTTCATCTGGTTCACTCTGGTCATTTATTCATTCATTCATTAGCATCGCTGTATTCATTTCATTCCACTCATAGTTGCATTTACTCATTGTCTTGTCTGTTGTTAGTTGTATTGTGTCTTGGTCTCCTGTGTCAGATTAGAATTAGAATAAATGTTTGGTTATGAAGTCGTCGTCTTGGTTTTCTGTAAGATTACATTCAGTCACTTTACGGGTGCAAAGATTCTGGCTACTTGAGCTCTATTTGAATTGACAACTGATAATTAATAATTTCCCCAAAGTGTGTTAAACATTTTTTTGTCTGATCAACAAGAGGTGTGGTTTTATTAGTCTGACTATGAAATTATATCACTGAACGAATAATTAAAGTGGTTATGTTTAATAATTCTTATTAACGTCACTTTCTGCTAATATTGAGCTAATCAAACCCTACAGTATTCATGGTGAAAAACGTAGGCACCTGAATAAACTGTTTATAATCAAATTAAAATTTACATATATGTAATGGTGGAGAATTTCGGCGAGCATTTACTCAATAAATGCTGCCACAAAATAAATTATAAATTACATAACAACCAATATTTCATTATATTAACATTACAGCTCCATTTCAGCTGCGGAGCGCCTGTCCATCTGTCTCCGGTGAGTAGCAGTTTATTGTTGTGTCAACAACTGGACGTCAGGGTGTCAAGAGTTGGGAGGATCTCAACGCTGATTGGCTTTCACAGCACAGTGTCACGTGAATTCGCCTCAAAAGTTCAATATTTTCAACTCGAGCAATGAGGCAATGGACGCGAATTTCACGTCTATCACACCGCGCCTACAACAAGCGAATTTGCGAATTCACGTTTGGTGGGTACACAGCATAACACGCATCTGGTGGAAATAGGCCGTAAGCCGCACTTGAGCATCCGTCCAGGCCGCGGAGGTCAGGCCGGGGGGCCGCGGAGGTCAGGCCCGGGCGGGACCATAGGTGAGTGGATCCCAAGTCTCGAGCCCTGCCCAGGACCACGGGTGGCAGCTCCTGGCACTTCCACTGTAACCCAAAACAAGTGCTCACAATAACCAGATGAGCAGATAACGTCAACTAGGGAAAATAAAATGAAAACACCACAGTTGTAGCCTGTTAGCTAACATGAGCTAAACTAGCTAACAGCTAACGAAAGATAACGTTAGCTGGTGGGGACATGTGCTATATAGGCTACACCCAGTCGTGCCTCACTACTCACCAGGAACCTCTTTTAACGGTCACAGCATAAACAACAAAGCTATTTTCTGCCAATTTATTCCAGTTAGCTTAATGTTACCTGAAACCAACTGCGATGAGATGCTGTGTCCCGTGAGCTCAGTTCCAAACAAACACCGCAGAGATGAAATTCTGCCTTCTGTGGCGACTTCCGTATGTGGGCAGGTATATTCTACGGCACTGGGCCGACCCAAAGCCGACATAACAGAGACGTTTGATGAGCTGGGACAAAAGAGTATTAAATTTAAAGATATCATATATATATGGCGCACGTGTGTAAATTAACAGTCCCTTTATTCCAAAAGTGGTAAAGAAAGCAAGAGAAGAACATTTAATTTACAGGGCTTTCCCTGGAGGGTGGGAGTGGATGAACCCGGTTAAAGAGTACCCGCCCGGCCGGGACTCTTTAAAACTAAGGCGAGCGCGCCCACAAGGAGGCAGGGCTCATTTCATTGGTCAACAGTAAATCTGGCATTCTATTAGTTGGGGGATTTTGACAGGGTTGTTACACAAAAAAATCCAAGCGCAGGGCAAAAAACGGGAGCGCGAGGAGAAAAGCTGAAGCTCGAGCAGGCAATCTGTGCGAGCAAATGGTATCTGAGTGCGTGCAACATGGTATCTGAGTGCAAGCAACATGGTATCTGAGTGCGAGCACACAGTTTGAGCAGAAACAGAGTAGATCCAAGTGCTAGCAGAGGCTATTTGAGTGTGAGGGCAGGGTTTTTGAACGTGAAATCAATAAATAATGCTCTCAAACTGATAAACCACTCTCTTGAATAAAGATAGGGATAAAGCTCCATAGCTAATCACTGTCCCCATTTCAAACAAAGTTGCTTGTAAGCTAACGTTACGTTAGCTAATGGAATGTTTGCAATAGCCCATGAGGTAGCTGCACATTTCAGTTGAAGATTTTTTGCTTCATGGTTACATGATGTAATTTTTAAAGCTAGCAGGCTTCAGCTGAAACATACAGTTAGCTTGTAGGCTACTAGCAAACAATACAGTAGCTAGCACAAACTTGCAAGTAGCCCCTACAGTGGTTAGCTAGTAGTATATTTTTAATGCACACTTAGAGGGGATTTCAGGGGCTCAGCTTCAGCAATTTCTGTCCACTTCTTTCATTCTTCACTCTATCATTTATCTTGTCATCACAAATGTGAGGACGTGTGAAAGAGACACTCCTGTGTCTCTTCATAATATATAAACGCATAATCATTTGTAAATGATGAGCAACATTCATGCGTGACATTACCACAAGTCATGCATTAATTTGTACCCTTAATGTGAAGATTTACCCAATAATTGTATTCAAATATCAGTAAATTGTATTTGATTTTTAAGTAATGCCGAACTCATTTTCAGGGCCTGGAATGATATGACCACGTTTGCATGCAATCAAGCCTACAATGCCATGCCTACCACTGAGCTGAATCTCCTTAATGAAACGTGTTTACCAAATGTATTATTATTGAGCTAGTCGGGTGGGCTACCTCTGAAGATGCACAGAATGAAATAGGGAGTTTTGCAGTGGGAACAAAGGAGATAGGGACATTATTATGTAATGGTTATCAGTAAACTGTTTACAGTGGTGGTAGATGTACTCAAATCTTTAACTAGAGAAAAAAAAGCTACACCACAATGTTGAAATGCTCCATAAACCCATTCATTTTTTCAAAGTTGTTTCAAGAAATAAAATGTTGGTATGTTCTCTTAATAAACTAACAATAACACCAATGACAAGGAAAATGTTCTAACTATACCTAATTAGCTCTTCATTGGTAGTTATTAAAAATCATCAAAAGGAAAACTTTCAGTGCCCTTCATATTTTAATGTTCATCTAAAAAAACACTCATATATACAGTAATTGTCCGTTTTCTTTATGTATATTTTTTATATATTTTGCCAGAAAGCTATATTTACTAAGAAAAAAAACAAATAACATAATATATATTTACTGTACAAAACTCAATGGGTCACAGTGAGAATGTCAACAGCTTTATGCAGGAGCCACAGAGGAGACCTCTGTCTTTGATGTAGATACTTCAGAGCCATCATCCACTTCTTTGCCAAAGAGTTGCATGATGCATGTACGAAACTGATAGAAAGAGAAACACAAAGGTCCGTTAAAAAATATAAACCAAACACATCTGATTTAGACATAGAAAATTGATCAATGTGGCAGTGTGACTGTTGTGCCCACCTGCCGGTTCATAAAAACGTAGATAATTGGGTTGTAGATGGTGGCGCTCTTGGCAAAGTACGCAGGCATGGCAGCAGCCAGAGGATGGAAGGCATATCCAGGGTTAGCTGCAGCAAAGCACGCAAAAAAGGTGTACGGCCCCCAGCAGAAACAATATGCCAAGATCATGACAACGACCATTCTGGATACTTCTTTCTCAGCTTTCTGGGTTGACTCTGATTCCTTCTGCTGCATGGCAACCTGTGAGCCACAAATAAACACTGTGAGACTCTGTCAGGCTATGATGTACTTCAGATAGACTATAAAACTGCAGGTAAGATAACTTACAGCACGGATAGCCAACCAGACTGCAAGGTAGCACAAGATGATGATAGTCAGAGGGATTAAACAACATGTAGTCATAAGAACAATCATGTAGGACTGGACTCCAGGGTCGTCACTTCCACTGAATACATCAGGTCCACAGGAAGTCTTTAGTCCATGAGGCCAGTACCTGATAAAGAAAATATTGAGTTTGCAGATCCACTGATTCAGTTGAAGGAACAGTGTGTAAGATTTAGGGGAATTCAGTGGCATCTATCAATGAGGATTGCCGATTGCAACCAGGTGTAACTTCTCCCGGTGAGACTGTCTTCAGTGTTCATTGTTTAGGAGATTTTTAGCGGGAGCCGAATTATCCCCACAAGTCTCTTCCTCTTCAAAACAAAAAGACCCAGTGATTAAAACCAGTAAAAACACTGAATAAAGCAGTTTCACATTGCAAATCAGTGTTTTTCTGATGCTCTCATCACGGAGGGGCTGCTAACTATGCAGGGCAGAGTGAAAACATGAAAACATGAATTTCATTCTGGGCTACTGTAGAGACATGTCAGTGAACACGATCTCTGTGGATGCGTACCCGCACCATATTCAGATATAATTAGCTCATTCTAAGAAAACGAAAGGTGACTGTACACTAAAGAAAACATACTAATTATGTGATATTCCATTTCTTCCAGTATATCCCCCTAAATTTCACACACTGGACCTTTAAAACCCATTTTTGATTTTAAAAAACACATCACGCTACCTGCTCCATCCAAAGATAGGCGGAGCACACCACACCGCTGACCAGGTCCAAGAGAACAATATTCCGGCTGTAGCCCATTTGGCATCAAACTTGATGTTTCCAAAAGGTTTGCAAACAACTACCCATCTCTCCCAGGAGATGATAGTCAGGGACCAGAGACCAGTTATGCCTGTGTGAAGAATAAGGATACTCAGTGAAGGTATTTTAACTCTCAGCCTGATGTCATTTGCAACACCAACAATCCTCTTTCCAAACTATTTCCAAACTCCTTGCAATCAAAGAGAAAGAACTGTGAACACTCACCACAAACTGAGACAACGTAGCCCTCAAAGATGCACATTGGGTGTCCTAGAATGAAGTAACCGAAAAACTGGTTGCATACACTGATGGTGCTGGCAAAAACTGTCTCTCCGAGATCAGCAACTGCAAGATTGACCAAGATCCAGTTCAGAGGGTGACGCAGTTTCTTGAACTTTGCTGTGGCCACCAAGACGAGACCATTGGTGAAGACTGATAAGACAACCACTATAAACATCCAAACTGTTGCAACGTTGTAAGCCCATCGAGGAGCAATGTGGTAATTGGGACCTTCAAAGGGATCTGAGAAAAGAAAGCGATTTCATATTTAGTATCACAATTTAGAATCATATGTGGTCCACACTGTCTCATTTTGTAAGGCCTACAAAACAATACCTCTTAGAAACAACACATATTTATATATTAGTTAATGTTACATGTACTGTATGAATGAGATATAAGTCTAATTTTTGTGATTTTAACTCAAAATCCTTTTTAAACATGTGAATATACCACAATTAGGCCTATAACTTCATGACATTTGAATCATATTGTGGTTAAAGCTGCATTAAGCTGTAGAAAATGGAGACAGAAAAACAACACAACAGACCTGCATACTGTATATCCACAGTGTCCGAATTTACACTGTCTAGTTTAATGACTCAGAAGCAAATGGTTTATGTGTGATTACGCTCAGTCTCAGGTAAAGAGACAGCAGAAATCTTTAATTTGTTTAATTATACAGAGTAGTGTCAGCATGCAGTCAGTTGGTATGTAACACCAAACACAAAAAATTATAGATTACTGAAGTCAGCAAAATACAGTGGTGAATCATTAGATTTAATTCAGGTTCTATTGGCAAACAGTGTCTAGATTTTGCTCTAACACACAAATCTAATTATTTGTATAATAATAATAATTATATAAAACTTAATTTAATTTTCACCTTTCATACAAGATATGCAGCCCAAAGTGCTTTACATAAGGAAAAGACATGCACTGAGTGCTTCACAGGAAAAAAGAATGAACGTTTTTATAGCTATGGAGCGTAGTTGACATGCTACATAAAATGATAATACCATACCTCTGGTATGATTGCTGTTTGTGTAAACAAAGGCAGATCCTCTTGTTGTCTCTTCATTGTACCGCCTGGCAGCAAATACCGGTTTTCCCCACTCCTCTGCCATTCTGATTATTAGAGGATGAACCTCAGCTGTCAATTTTTTTGACCCTCGCAGCCTCCTTGAGTGACTGGTGCAACACATCCAACATTAGCTTTTATACTTGTGCTTCAGAGACCTCTGATAGGATTAGGTAGTTAGGTTAGCAGTATAGTGTCATGCTTGGCAATGATACTCAGCCACAGGACAACCCTAGGCAAACCCATTTGAACTGTAATTAAAACTATCAGCTTACCTTAAGACACAAAATGCCCAAATAATCTTGTTAGAAAACGGATGTCCATCCACTCCGGATTAGTTGCAAGATTTTAATTTCCATCATTTGTCGTCATTGGGACCAGCAGTAGCTAATATTGCCTCTTTCGTACAACTATAGCAATGTAGAAATGATAAACTAAATATCAATCAATCAATCAATCAAACTTTATTTATATAGCGCCTTTCATACATCAAAAATGCAACCCCAAAGCACTTATATATAATATGTGTATAAATGAGAATTGAAGCTTTAGAACCAATGTATATTTTCATATGACATATCACAGCAGAACTGTGCATATCAGCTTATTTGTATAATGTGTGTGATAAATATGCATGTGGACTCTGGTGGGCATAAAAGGACAGCCAAGTCTTAAAGCAGCTTAATTGGACAACTGGTGACCCATGAAACTGTTATAGCTACAGTCACAGTTGTTGGCGTGTTAGTGTGGTAAGACACTTTTAATCCCTCCAGAAAGATAGTTCACATCAGAGCATTGGATTTTTTGCCTCTCATGTGACCTGTAACTCACGTCACAGTCCTCATGTCAAGGACAAAGTGATATTTATTGGAAGGACTTTTGAAGAAGGCTATCAAAAGGATGCCACAACCAAAAAAGCATGCACAAGCTTCCGTTGTTTGTGTCAGTGAGTCAATGAGTGTCTTTAGCCAAGAGGCAGGATTTACAGCTAAAATTACAATGAACAAAATAAATGATAAAATAAGAAGACATCAGGGCAGTGTTTTCACATTATAAAAATACAAAGATGCAGCTTAGTTGGGGTCTGTGAGGATGACCATGTGAGATGCTGGAATGGAGCCCATGAAGTCTGTCAAAATCTTATTGCTGTTTATTATTTAATTTACTCTAAAGCACAGGTTTGATTTGATTATGGCAAATACCCTAATTGTCAAACTTTCACTACTTATTATTAAGTTGGACATGATTTAACTGTGCAAGATTTCACAGGGGATTTTTGACCGCTTTGGATTTAATTATAAATATATATGTATGTATATATCTATCTATATATAGATATATACATATACATATATGCTATGCACAGATTTTTGGCAAAATGAAGCTGAGTGACAGCTGTGTCTGTCCAAAGCTCTTCAGTTCTGGGTATTCCCAACAGGATTGTGTCTTTAAGGGATAAGAGCAACCAGTGATTAAGGAATTTAGTGTCCTCTTGCATACTTAAAGTTTGCTAACAATGTTAACTCAATGTACTTAAAGTTTGTTAACAACGTGCTGTCCTTCAGTCAACCTTCAGCAGGTTATTTAGACCAGTACACTCACTGGATCCAAACCACTGAGTGGTGCTGCTGGTGAGGTGACTTCAATGAGGGAAAACTTGTGGGGAATGTCAACCATAAACAAAAGAATTTGTGGCATCGGACAACAATATCAGTTTGGAGAAAATTATAGGAGTAGCGAGAGGCTGCAGTGGACAAATCATGGAATTATTGGGACAGTTCACCTCAAAATCAAAAATACAAAGTTTTCCCTTTTACCAGTAGTACTATTTGTCTAGATTGTTTTGGTGTGAGTTGCAGAGTGTTGGAGATATCAGCTGTAGAGATGTCTGCCTTCTCTTGATTATAATGGAACTAGATGGCACTCAGCTTGTGGTGCTCAAAGTGCCAAAAACAGGGAGTCCGGAAGTCATGACCCATTTACTCAAGATAATCCACAGACCTTGTTGTGAGCAGTTTTCATGGAGGGACTATTTTCTTCCTAACAAACTACAGCCACAAATTATATTACCACATAGAGGTAAAGCGTGCATCTATTCATGGATGAGAGGCTCATGCTCATGCATGAGATGTAAACATTTGTAGCGTCCTCCTCGGCTGAGATGGGACATTAGCTAGCTCAGTGGTGTGAGATGAACTAGCAGCATATGCTTTAAAGAATGCATGACTCATGATGAAATAATGTGTGAATTAATGCAGGCTCATTATTTTCTGTTGCTCACCATTACCACCCTGTTCACTGACATTTCGGTATGTTATAATAGGTACAGCACAAGTGTAAAACAGTAAATTTGACGGCTGAATTCCATTTTGTTTCTTCAGTTTCATGGTCCGGGTCCTGGCTCACTGTCACACTGTGTGGTTCAACTGTCGTAGGAACAGCTACTTTTCCATCCAGTCAAAATGTCTGCTGTGAAAGTGGTCTATTACGAGGGGCCTATAACACATGATTGTTCAAACCCTTCTAATCATCATCATCAATCATCATCATTATCACCTCATTGTCATTCCCAGGGCATCAAATACTGACACTTTCACAGTCAACATTTGTATGTGGGATCCATGTGGTTAGTAAAGGAGCCTAAAAGATGGGCCCTGTATGGGATCGTCCATGGGTTCCATAATGACCCCATTCCAATTGCCCACATGGGTGGCTTCACCCAAGTGGGCCCTGGATAAGATGCCTATTTTGGCCCATACCCACTTGGTACCCAGGTAGCCGTAGTACAGGGGGCCCACTAGGGTAAACCCACCCATGTGGGCAATTGACATGGGGCCACTGTGGAACCCATGGACAATCACAAAAAGGGCCCATTTTTCAGCTCATGGGGCCCACATACAAATGTTGACTGGGAAAGCATCAGTATTTGATGCCCTGGGAATGACAATGAACTGGATCGTTTGTTATGTTGTCATTTGTTTAAGTATAACATGCTTTATTGTAATATTTATGATTATTAGCATTTAGTCCAGAGGAGAGGGCAGACCTTTTTTTTCATAACCCTTCAATAAAAAACAAAAAGTGACAACATTGTGTGGGCACTTGTGAAAGTCCCCACATGTCTTACGAGTCAGATGCTTGACAGTAAGTCATATTACTGACATTACTGTCAGTACAAATAAACAGTATAATTCACACTGTATCAGGGATTGTTAGGTAGCAGCTGTTGTCGCAGCAGTGTCTCCCTAAATAGTGCTGAACCTCTAATCAGAACGTGGTTGATCTAGATCCAGATTTGTCATGTCCCCACAGACCAAAGCAGATTATACGGACAACTTGAGTTCTTCCATAAAACAGATTAACATAGAGTAATTACTTCTGGCATGGTCACTCCGTAACACTTTAATCTCTCCGGAACAACAGTTCACTTCAGGAGAAAGCAGAGGTTAAGTAAAACTGCTGTAGTGGTTTAGTTTAAGCTGTTGATTCTTTTTTTTTTTTTTTTTTTCAAGTCCACGTCTCACTCAAGTAGTTGGCTCCCAGATTTGATAAGAACTCCATGTAGGACACGGACTGCACATCAAAAAGAAGAGGATGGATCCTGAAACTAAAGAAATCTGTAAACTTTTCTTATATTTTCCTTTATTTACAATTATGTCTCTATTTATACTAGTACTTAATTTAGCTGAATTTTCATCATTGTTTATGAAGTAATACTCCTTTATCTAATGTCTTAGGGGAGAGATTTTTGTTTTCAGTAGCTGAGTATGTATTTACTTAGCTAGCTAATGCTTTCTTACTGCTACTGATTCCTATGTCCATGTGATGCTGTGATGTTTCGGGGGTAGGTCCAGAATTCCGCTAGTTCTGAACTATTCGTAGTTGGTAAAAGTTCACTACTAGAAGAACTCGGATTTGCTCCCGACTACCAACGGGAATCTCCATGACAACCATGATCTGGTGTGAAGGTCTGGTTTATACCCTTGCTGTCTGAATAGCTGTAGTGTGGATATGTATTACACTGGTGTGGAGTGAACAGAGTCCATCTTTGCTACTCATCATGTTCACTTCACATCAGGTAATAATCCTGTTCACAGATTTGTGTGCAGATGTTGTTGAGGGATGCTGTGATGACCAGAATATCCCTTTTTTACCTTTGCTTTTCCCTGCAGCATAGATGACCCATGATGGCCTAAAACCCAGAGGCAGTAGTGTGGTATTTCCAAGTATTGACTCATTGATTTTCATCTCCTCTCAGCAGCATGACAGGCAGACAACATGTAGCCACCTATGTTTAGTTGTAATCTGAACACACAGGCAACAGTTGGGTACAATACTGAGGCAAGTGTTTCTGTGACTGATTTTAATTGCTTAATTAAATGTTTCGGTAACACTCTCTATGCAGCCCTCTTTATTATGTATTATAAATAAACTTGTAATGCACTCAGGCTGTTTCCATTCATTGTTTACATGTATACTTACGAAAAGCAGTGCATCAAAATTCATATGTAACTTACAAATACAATCATGTGACAGCTGCACTGACGAGAGTAAAGAAGGAAGTAGTGCTGCAGGAATGAGTCCCTTGTCTCAAAGGCTTTTTTTGAATGGTAAAGTCATGGCAGTAAAGTAATGTGACTGCATAGTAGTTCATTTATAGCCTAATGTTAGCTTTTTACTTCTGGCGATTGCATTTATGCTTCAAAAAATCATAAAGGTGGTGTTTATTTGTGAAGATTATCTTGCTGAACAAAATGTGTTAGTATCGTACACTTACATTTTGTGTTTGTTCTTTTCCCACAGAGCTTATTTCCTGCAATAATCCAGAATCCAATATCTTTTTGTTGAGGGAGCCAGGGTGATGGTAACATCTGGGCTGGCCTACGAATAAATGTCACTCTTGCACTGTTCTATAAAGAGTGAAAGTCCGCACAAGGAGGCAGGGTGGGGTGGTGGATGGATCGAACAAACACAGGACTTTCCCCAAAGACAATCAGGATTAGTGTCTTTATTATAAAATATGTGCTCACCATGTTTCTTTTGCTAAACCTAATCTGTGTAACTTCACATTGCAACATGACACCATTCATGGGACACTACATCGGCTATTATACAAACAGTTGTATGAGGATATGTTGATGTGTTATAATCTGCCTCAGGCATTTTGAAATTATAGTTATAAGCAAGTATCGTAATATTTTATTTGCATTTTTGCATTCTATTGCACCAATCTTATTGTTTTATAATTCTCGTAGATGTGATACAATACAATCATTTTATAATGTGTTGTATTTCCATCATAAGTTGTTAGACATTTTACAATGTGTTGTTGTTTTTACATAGATTTGATATTTTTTCCACTTTACTTAAAGCAAACAGTTACCTCTTACAGTGATTTAAATCCAGCTTGTAATGTTTTCTGTCTATACATCCTCAGGAATTTTATTACTTCACTTAAATGGCTATTTAGAGTAAATTATAATCACATTACAAAGCATTATAAAATTATTGTAATGCATTGAGAATTATAATACACTTTGATCCTTGCAAAAATGTCAGTTAGTGACTATTAATTATAAAGTATTATGACACTAGACCTTATAAGTCATTGTGAATGCTTTATAATGTTTTCTGATCATTGTTTTAAAGCATTAAAAATATTTATGAGTACTAATATAAATAATTATACAGTGCACATCAGTATATCATGTTTTTTATTAAAAGTATGTTTGTAATGCCTTGTAGTCATGGGGGTCAGAGAAAATGTTACTGAATTGTCTCACATAAATAATGAAACGTAAACACTAGTACTATGTGAGTACCTACGCAGAGATTAATGTGTAATCCTCTTCAGTTAACCCTCTTTAGCTCATTGTATTAAAGCATTTGAAAACAAGTGCATGTAACCGCTTTAAACTGAGAGTCATTCATCATTATAAGAATACATTTTGTTTCCAGAGCACTTATTATCATTTATCAAAGTGGACCCAAGGGGAAAATTATTCATGCTTAGATTGTATGCCAAGATGTGTATGAGTGTGTGTGTGTGTGTGTGTGTGTGTGTGTGTGTGTGTGTTTGTCTGCCAAGTTATCTGAACTCCGCAAGGTAAAGCCTTTAAGTCTGTGCTCGGTGAGTGAACTAGTGATCCACGTACCCGCAGCATTGTTGGCAACAGGTAAGAATGACTGACAGACTGGATCTAATCTGAGTTTGGCAAAGTGTTTCCATTCTACAGATGACCTTGAGTCATAAATATAAACAGTATAATATATAATTAAATGTTTCTTAATATTATAGTGTGTAATAGGCCTATACAATATATTCATACAAGTTGTTGTGCTATGAAAACTACGGCCCTTGACAGTGTTTTCAAGTGATTACCTCACCCAGATGTACTCAGTTACAGTTCCCATGGTATCAGCTGTGACCAAAGCAGTATGGCGCCATCTGCTGTCTAAATGTTGACTCGTCTTTTACACTACAGTGACATCTGATATATTGAATTTTATACATTTGAATGAATTGAATGATGATTCAAAAGAGAGTGCTGCATTTATTTATTTGTTTTTTTATTTTGCAGATTTGAGAGCGCTGTCAGACAATGTCAGCTGTGCCAGATGGGATTCAAAAGGGAAAAATGAGTAGATGCACACTTATTTCAATTTCTTAGATTATGTGTTAGCAGCATTTCAAAGTGTTTGCATGGTGCAGGCAACAGTGAGTTAATGATCTCATCACTTTTCTCCACAAAACTAGGTTGTGAAAATCATTTCATCATTTCATTATTTGTATGAATAATGTTCTATAATGATCATAACTGCACTTGTATATTTACGCTCTGAAATGGTAATATGCTTTGTATATCATGTTTTCCTTGTGTGCTGAAATATCATTCCAAACCTTAATATTAATTTTACCACAAATTGTCCTTCTGGCTCACTGCTGATGTTCTGAAACATACTCAGTTTCAAAATATCCACAGTGAGCGGGATGGATGTGTTTTGAGATTTCATTGAGCACTAAGACAAATTCAGGGAGTGTAATTAAAGCAGAACTATGGCTTTGGCTTGGCGTCTTCATTAAAGGGGAACTACACCCAAAAAAATCCCTTCATGTTACTCCTATAGTTTAAGATAGTCCAGAAATATTAGTAAACATGAACAACTCTGTACCAAATCCCAAAACTAGAGTGCTTAAACACAAATCTATGATGTCATCAAGTATTAAGTGTGAAATTGCTGCACTGACAATGAATGGTGAAAGATGACAGATGAGTATATGGGTACATTTTTTGTTTCAGAACTGAGAACACTACAATAGAAAAAGGGCTTTTTCATATTTAGTGAAAATGATTCATACCATGCCCAAGTACGGTTGCCCCCACCCCGCACCACTCCGTCCTCTCCCTTGCTGCTCAACCTTTATATTAGTAATGTTGTACCTGAGTACACTTGCATCATCATCATCTACGAGACAGTTTTGTTGTGCTACAGTGCAGAAAAGGGTGCTGTCAGGGTCTGTATAGAGACTGTCATCAGTGGGTACTGGCAGAGCAGCAAGGCAAAGCTCTGCTCCTGCCCGGAGGGGGAGGAGTGAAGCTGGATCCGGGTCTCTCTGCAGCAGGCTACACTCTGCCATCTGATGAAGAGGCATCAGTATTACATTTAGACTGTTTCATAACAAGTTAAAAAACCTTGTAGCCATATTAATTAGCGGTCCATTTCTGTGTTTTGGTACAGATGCTTACTGCACTGGACTACACGTGAACCATACTCAAGACCACCTTTTCAATTGGACTCAAGTATGAATTGGCGTACTGTGCCCACATATGGTACACAGTGTTCACACTAATCAAATGAACTGGGTTTTGGGGTCAAGTGTACTGGGATTGGGGCCCTGGTCCCTGATGTGAAAGCCCCTTAAGGCCTCATTTCTGTGCAAAGTTAGATCCATGTACATACACAGATGGAGCCATCTATCTGTACTCTGCGTTCATTTCCTCCATATTTGTGCACATTTTCTGAAAGCTCACAGACACGGATGAAACAGAGCAGTACCATGAGAGATCATGGGGGCAGTGTAGCATAGTTCAAGCATAATGCAACTGCAGGAAAAGACAGACATTCAAAAAATGGTGGAACAGAATGAATGGGTTATATAGTGAAAATAATTCTCTGTTCACATGTCATGATGTATTTAATCTCCTCACAGACCACCTCCGTCTACAATGCTGCCTCCATTTAAATTAAAGGTACATTATTGCGACCTCATCCTATTGCATTTGTTGTTGACAGAAAGTTTTGACTTTAGCCTCTAGTGCCATCTGTTGGCTCTATCTGTGCAGTGGCAGTGGCATTTACAGTGTTTGAAATGAATGTATTTATAGAGTATAAATGAGCCTTAAAGCTCATTTGGATATAAAAATGAAAAACATTCTGTGGATCCACAAAATCAGGCTCCCATTCATTGTCTGTGAAGCAGCTCCAGATTTCATACCTGACGACATCACAAGTTTAAGACTTAGTTTTCTGTTTTCTAGCTTTGAGAGAGTAGCTCATGTTCACAAATATTGACTGATTTCCATGACAATTGCAATGACATATTTGAATTTATAATTTAGGTGGTGTTCCCTTTTAACGTCAGGGCATTCAGTGCTTCATTGAGCACATCAGCAGAGAATAACATACGCAGACTTGTGGACTTTACTTTTTTTCCCCAAGTCCATCCCAGAAACTATCAGACAGATTAGATGAGGTTTGCCCACATTGTCAGTAATTGTTTCTCACATGTATAAAACTGTAAAGTTGTAGGTCAGCTGTTTATTATTCTCTGTTAGACTCCAGGTTGTTTCTATGCACATGAATCCCTAAACAATAAATACAGTTTTCCATCTCATTCACAAAGATTTGTAATATACTACAACATTAGCTTGCAGTTAATAAATTAACAACTACTATGGGTTTCCATTGACCAAAGTTTGACATCTTCATTTTATTTTTAGGACAAGATCAAGGCTAAATAATATACAATTTGTCACATACATCTGAAATGAATAGTCTGGAAAAGACACAAATAATAATTATCACTGACATTTATTTGTTTCTTCTTTTTTTTTAAAACATTTTTCTTTGCATGTAACTCTTCAGCTGTAATAACAGAATAATCCATTTGTCATATTTGTTCGTTCAGTGTTATTTACAATACGTAAACAGTGGTGTAGTGGAGGGTATATGCAGGTATATGTGGTATACCCACTTCTTTTCTGGCCATATACAGTTTACCCACCTATTTACCAATAATCATTGGAATATATAGGAGAGCACACCCACTTCCTCCTCCATAACATGCCCATCTACCTAGCCGTATACCCACCTCATCAGCTACCACTACACCACTGTATATCAGACACCAAAATGAGTCGTGAACAACCTAAGCAGGTCCGACTTTGGAGACTTCAGTGACGGATTGACTTGTTGATGACTCCTCATCGTCGCTTCCACTCATCCCCAGCATCTTCTGTATACACGAGCGGAACTGAAAGGGAAAAGCAACACAGGTACATTCATTGGTGAGGGAAAAATATTTCCAGTACCTCTAATTTAATAACATAACGAACTTTGGAGATCAAACTGTAACAATATATATTTGATGACTTGTGACAGGTTTATTTTATCATATAATCCAAATTAATAAAGACTTCAGAATTTTAAGTATTTAATGTCACATCACGTTTTCTCCATGAGGAGGGAGCAAGCTTACGTTACATTTGTATGTTTCATACATGTCATATCAACATTTCTGAAATGTTTGAGAGCAAAAAGCAGCAGCAAAGGTTGTTTTTTGCGAAAAATTGCAGCATCTAAAGCAGCTCTAAAATCAGCTATTTAAGCCAAAACATGTTTTTTCCTAATCATGCCCAAGTGGTTTTTGTGACCAAGCATATCCACATACAATGGAAGAAGGAAGCTCTGCTTGGCTCTGATGACTGGTGGACAGGTGTTCTTTGATGAGGCAGGTAAAAAGTGCAAAAAAACAAGATCCCAGAAGTCTCAAATTAATGCAGAAAAAAATAAGGCACTTCATCTTTGGGTGAAATAATCTTATATATTAATTCTTCAATGACAGCCAAAACATAATCTTTTCCTCACCAAAACCAAGTGGTTTTCGTGTCCGAATATTACTACATGTTTACCACAGTGTGTTGAAATGTAAGGAAACCAAAATGTAAAGTTTCAACACATCCCTGGCACAATAACATGCAAATGTTACATATCCATAGTTTGCAGAAATGTACAATGTCCTCATTTATTCTAGGGACTGGGTTGCTAAATTCAGTACAACTTTAGTTAAGCCAAGTGAAAATAAGGTTACCCTTCTACCTGCAAATAGCTTTTAAATCATAACTGACAGTGAACCAACCTGTTTATTTAGGAGGATGTAGATAATGGGGTTGTAAACTGTGGAGGCTTTGGACAGACAGGAGGGAATGGTTGCCAGTCTCAGGTCAAAAGGCTGCCCTCGATTGTTGACGACCCAAAGAGCAAAGGAGGCGTAAGGCATCCAGCACACCAGGAAGCCCAAGACCATGACGACCACCATCCTGGTCACCTCCCGCTCTGCCTTCTGGGTGGAGGCAGATTCAGCTTGGGCCTTCGCTGCCTGTTGACCAGGGACATACATAAATGTGGTTGGTCTGAAGGAGACAAACACACTCGTAGCTATGAAATCAAATGAGATATTGTATTGTTTTTTTAAATCAACCTAACAGAGACGTATCACTTACCGCTTTCAACATGAAAAGCAGCTGTGAGTAGCAGAAAACGATGGTGAAGAAAGGGACAGAAAAGCAGAAGCAGAAGAGGAACATCACATAGGACTCATTGTTGAACTTGTTGTTGGTTGTGTACCAGTCTGGTCCACAGGAGCACTGCATGCCCTCTGGGATATACCTGAAGAGACAGACAGTGAGTCAGTACTTTACATGTACGTACTGCAGGAACATGTGGTGGCTGTGTGTCTGGGATATACCTGAAGAGACAGACAGTGAGTCAGTACTTTACATGTACGTACTGCAGGAACATGTGGTGGCTGTGTGTCTGGATATTTGGAATTAGGGGCAAAATGATTAACCTTACAAGAGCTCTTGTAAGAGCGGGGAAAATTGGTACTTCAAGATCATAGTTTTAAAAAGTCAGTTACAGAGTTACTCATCTCCATTGCTATATCATCTATTAAAGACTAAGAACTCTGCTGTGTGATGGCCTTTAAATACAGACCTACTCCATCCAACCAGAGGAGGAACTGCAGCCATCAAAGCAAACACCCAAGTCATTGCGCAGCAAGCTATAGCATGGTTAGGCTTGAAGGCGAAGTTCCCGAGTGGCTTGCAGACGACAAGCCATCTCTCAAATGCTACCACAGCCAGAGACCACAGGCTGACCATACCTGGAACAAGACAGGAGAGTATAACAGACTGATAACAGCTCCCTCATTGAGCTGCACTTTATAATACTGCATATCTGTGGTAGAGTCTAAAATATTATAAAGCAGGGATTGTAATAGTTACTTTGTTTTACTAAATGATACTTCTGGCTTGCCTGCAGTCCACTCAGCTAGACCTCAGCGGTAGTTACATGTTTGGTATTAGGCTTTATTATTATCTGTAGAGGCCTTATGACATATTTTGCCGTCACATTCTCATCGAAAAATTGTTTGACATTAAAGGAAGGTAAAACGATAACAGTGGATCTGATGCAGAATGGTTTTAAGCAGTGTTATAGTCAAGACCACCTTAACCGAGACAAAATCATGATCGAGACTACCAGTGCTTGCCTCTTACTGGAAAATGTGGAACATAAAAACCATAATGTTCCACAGTCTGATCTGAAAGACCCACATTCCCACTAATTCACCCACATAAAACAACAACAGATTTCTCTTTTATGCCATATTAAGTATACGTGTATGTACATAAATATATATATATACATATATATATATATATATGTGTGTGTGTGTGTGTGTGTGTGTGTGTGTATATGTATAACACTAAAGAGCTGAAATCAACTTGACCATCTTTATTCAAAACTGTTTTTCACACAGGCAATTTAGTGATATCCCTACAGTTGTGGTCTGGGCTGCTCTTGAAATAAAGTTTTCTGAGTCAGAAACCACAATAAAATGGAGTAAAAATGTGGTTGAGTCCAAGATGAAGCCGAGACCTTCAAATACTGGTCTCAAGAACAAGACAGATCTTGAGTACTACACACTGGTTTTAAGTTTAGACAAAGAATTTGTCTCTTATCTGTCATCCAAAGTTTCTAGGTTGCTTCCTGAGCAGCAAGAGCCAAAGTTTCTTTGTAGATTGAGGAAAAGAACTATATCTTAGTTCTCAAAACAACAGGAAATTAACAGCTAAGATGTTAAAGCTGTTAAATATTATTTTTTATATATTAAGCACAAGCTAAAATTGCAGCTTTTTGTATGAGGTGGAGACACTGACGTTACAAAGTGTTGTTTCTGTGGTAAAGATCAAAGTATTTCTCCAGCAGACTACTGTTATGAAAAACAAGTGTCAGTATAGAGCCGTGCTATCATATATTTTCATATAAATAGCAATGTAATACCATGATGCTGATGGCAAAACCACACTGTAATCTATAAGAGATTGTTTTGTCATGGGAAGAAGTGGCTGCGACTTATTTGAAGATATCTTGTCTGACAATAAAATCAGCATGGTGGGGCTGCAAGAAAGTTCAGAGGAGGCTTGCAGTTTTAATGTAATCGTTTTTTATAAACAGTAACCATAGGTACAAAATGTTGCGTACTTTAAAAGACGCATAAGCAGAAATGTTTGCCTTTTGGTCAATAGGATTAAAAAAGAAACTCTTCTGTGGTAGTATTGTACTCAGCTAACTTTTTTTATAACTTTGTTTTATTTATTCCATTCATCAAGATCCTTACCACCAACAGTTGCTGTAAATCCTTCAATCTTGCACCCCAGTGGACCAAGAATCATGTATCTGAAGGCAAAGCAGTAGAAGCAGGTGAAGGAGCCGACAGAGGAGACGAGAAGGTTTGCCACAGCCAAGTTCACCAGAATGTAGTTCAGATGAGAGCGGAGCTTCTTATATTGAACAGTACATGCGATAGTGAGGATATTAATGCCTGTACCGGTCACAAACAGGAAGAACATAAATGCTGACATGGAATAAAATATCCCAAGGCTCCCTAAGTGGTCCTGAGGAACTAGGTATGGACTGAAGGATGTGATGTTGTTGGTGTCCAGAGGGATGGGAATCCAGAAGTCCTCTGGGAGCTCCACTGGACGATTTCCCCTCATTTTTGTCTGGTTCTGTGTCAAATAAAAATTCAAGCACTTTTCAGAAAGACGTTAAAATGGTATTATTGTACCAAGACTACAAATAATTTACATCTGATTTTAAATAGTGCTGATACTTCTGACTGTTTCACAGTCCTCTGACTGACCTTTGTCTCTTTCTGATGGAGCGTTAAGGGCGTATTTATAGGAACTTTGAATATCACTCAGGCTAAACTTAATTGGCTCAAGGAGGGGCTTTAAAGCTTTGGTTCACAGATCACACATACTTATACTAGTGTATGTGCACACACATCATGCACTCCCATAATAACATGTGCCACCTTTGAGCTAATATAGAGATTAGTAGCTCAGTACCAGAGCTTGCAAGGATCATCTTGATACATCCCAGTGTAGCACTGTTTGTGAACCACGTAATCTCATCATCAGTGATGTGCGGGTGGTCATTTGCATGCATTTGGCCCTCAGTAATCCAGGTTGTACTGGGTTACCTCAGACTTTATGTCACCAACAATTTCAAAGAAACAGATTCTTATTATACATATGCGCCAGCAATAGCCGAGGCCAAAGGCAATTTTGTTTTCAGGTTGACCCTCTGTCTGTCTCATTCTCGTTAACACAATATCTTAAGAATGCCTCAAGGGAATTTTTTCAAATTTGGTACAAACATTCACAGCGATGAAATGAATAGAAATTGGTGGTCAAAAGTCAAAGGTCAGCATCACTGTGACCTCAAAAAACATGTTTTTGGCCATAATTTAAGAGTTCATACGCTAATAAAAATGACTACGATGATATTTTATATCCAAAAGGTGAAAGGTCAACTTCCCTGTGACATCATACTGTTCTGCAAAAACAAATTCCTGGCAATTATTCAGCATCAAAACTCAGGAACAGAAGAGGAGACATTTGGTTAGATACTGAATTGGAGACACTGATCATGTCCCCTGTCTCATGAAGACTCATGAAACTATATTTTGCAATAATTTGGTTGGAATCATTAACAGTAACAAAAACAACAACTGTCACCACATTGCTTTTTTTTAATTTCTTGGAGTGAATATGTGCCTCACAACACAATGCCCATACAGGGAAACTGCATGCAGTCCAAACCAGTGAATGTCATCAACAAACGGACACTATATAGAAATGTTTTTTATTTTTTTTATTTTTCACTTTGCAGATTATTTATGACTTCTTACTCGAATATCAGCAGAGCATATATATATATATATATATATATATTATATGACAGAACACATACATTTATTGTTATTTACAATTCACAATAATTCGTGGCAAGCCTTGATGTTCAGGCTAAGCAGGCCCAACTTTGGAGACTTCAGTCACTGATTGTGATGTGGAGGATTCCTCCTCACCTCCACCCATCCCCACCATTGCCATCATACATGAACGGAACTGAAATTACAAAAAGGTAAAAGTAGTTAAAATGTACGTTGTTTCTGTAGGACAAAAATCTGGTATCTATTTTTATCATGAAGTGTGAAGATAACAGAGGGTGAAAGGAAGCAAAATGTTAATTTTAAACATTAAAGGCTCTCCTGATATCAGACAGAATTGTCAACTTTCTACACTCTGTTTCTATTTTCAGTCTGACATTGTGTCCATTCTAACTGATTTCTGTGGGGCAAGGGGATTCGATTTTCCCAAACCAGTCACTAGAGAGCATGTCCGCCTGAATCTTACTTCATGTTGAGTCCACACTGATGTGTAGCCATGCCAACATGCTGATTTTGCCAATGTTTTAAGAGTGGAGCAGAGAGAAGTAACAACAAACTTTGATATCGGGCAATGTTGACAAGACCTGGATTTAGAACTGCCTCAACAGTTGCATCTATCTTCAGCGCTTTGCCAAACAACCTGACAACAATTTGACAACAGTGTTAATCCCGTTTGTTGTGCTGATTGGCTAAGTGAGTCCCCCCATGTCACTCTTTGGTTGCTTTTTTTGTTTCTGAAACTGAAATTTCATGTCACATTGGCAGATGAACCAGTCAACTCAGTGAAGTGAGCAGATTCAAAGATCTGCAGGCAAATTAAAGGCACTATAGTGTATGTCGCCTGGTGGTCGCATCAAAACTACACCAGTTTTTAGTGGGACTGTAGGAATACTTCTACACATAGTGGCATAGCAAAGTGGATAAATTAATGATTTAACATATTCTGTTTTTTTGACATGAAATATAAAAATGTTGCATTCGTGAGGTATATGCACAAGACAGCACTGATGCAAAACATCTACTAGCAAGTAATTTTCCGAGTTTCTGTATGATCTGTTAAAAGCTAAGAGGAAGACACTTCATGATTTCATAACAAACTGTTGCACTCATGCACCTCAGACTGACATCAGAAACAGTACAGTGCTTATGTGATACAAAGGCAGGGCAGTATGGAGAAAGTCACACTACCAAATTCCTTGATATTGATATTGTAAGGGCACTGTAGGATTGACTATTGGTACCTTATAAAATATTAATACATTGAGATTTCTGAAAATAATCATCAGTAATGTGGATATAATTACTAAGTGGGTAAAGGCAAATAACAGAACAGCTAGAACAGTGTGCTAAGTTCCGACAATTACATCACTTTACTGTAATGCAGCCTTTAAACTCAGGAAAGGACGACACCTACGATATTACAATGTTCAAAATCTAGGATATATTGCACAGCCCTATGTGATACACAAACTCTGTTTTGGCACATTGTCAGCTTCATGTGTTAAAAACCCAAAAACAGGGTTATTGTTGGGTTTCCCTATCGGTTTCTCTCAACAGCTCTTCCACATACTTCTTTGCAACAAAGCAAAAAGTGCACTGTTTCAAACCAAACATTTAACAGACCTGTTTGTTGAGGAGAACATAGATGACAGGGTTGTAGACTGTGGAGGCTTTGGACAGACAGGAGGGAATGGTTGCCAGTCTCAGGTCGAAAGGTTGCCCCCGATTGTTAACGACCCAAAGAGCAAAGGAGGCGTAAGGCATCCAGCACACCAGGAAGCCCAGCACCATGACGACCACCATCCTGGTCACCTCCCGCTCTGCCTTCTGGGTGGAGGCAGATTCAGCTTGGGCCTTCGCTGCCTGTTGAGGAAGCGAGTTGGGTCAAAGAGGTTATAAATGAGCCAGTAGTGTCACCAGCTATCGCAGTTAGTACACATACACAAGTGTTTTCTGAACAGTCAGTCAGTCTCTGTTAATGGTCCATGATTTCTACTGATAAACTTTGGCTTTGATAAGACACAAGATCACTCAAATATAAATGTTGTTTACTCTTGAGAAGACTTTTTTTTAGTGTCACATGTAAAAATGCAGCCTTTTCAAAACCTTTTTAAGTAAACCAAAGTAACTACATTTGGGCTTTATGTTATTTAATTTAAGGCTTTTTGTTATTTAGTTTAGGCTTCATTTCCTCCCTATGTATAGCCAAAATACATGTACAGAAAAATACAAAATTACAAAAGTTTACGTCAAGGTATATGTGACTCCTCAGGCAGGTGCGGGGCTGAGCTGAGGAAATCTGTAAGCCACAAAACAGTTGTTTATGCATGCCTCCATCTGCTTTAGGTAGACACAGAATCTTACACACAGAAGTTAAAAAAAACAGCACTCTGCAAGTTCTTAAGTGAGTCTGATTAATGTTTTATTTGATTTTGAAACCCTACCTTTATGTTGTTTTTATTTAGCCTTTCTGTGGCTGTTGCATGGTAAATCAATGAAGTTTCATTTTATGAAAAACAACTTGTATAATTGCACTTTTAAACAGCCCCCTTATCAACTTCATCCTGGCACCTGGCATGTTTGTTTGCCTCACCATTTTCAGTGTGATGAGCAGCTGAGCATAGCAGAAGATAATGGTGGCGAAGGGAACAGCAAAGCAGAAGCAGAAAAGAAACATCACATAGGATTCGTTGTTGTATTTGTTGTTCGTGGTGTACCAGTCTGGACCACAGGAGCACTGCAGGCCTTCTGGGATATACCTGGACAGATATTCACAATGGCATTCAGTGTCCATTCCAGCTTCCCGAGATAAATTTTCGGTGTTTACGTTGGTTTTTGTTGCTTACCTGCTCCATCCAAACAGTGGAGGTAGTGAGGCAATCAGTGCAAACACCCAGGTAAATGCACAGCAAGCTATGGCATGGTCAGGCTTGAAAACAAAGTTTCCAAGTGGTTTGCAGATGACCAGCCATCTTTCAAACGCTACCACAGCAAGAGACCACAGGCTTACCATACCTGGAATGACAGAGACAGAGAATTTAAAACATTTTCAAACCATTATAGATAAGTCCAGTAGTAGAAAGGCATGATCCAGTCGAATTAGTTTATTGTTTCAAAACTACAGCTTAAATCTTACCGCCAAGTGTCGCCATAAAACCCTCAATCTTGCATGCTAGAGGTCCGAAGATGAAATATCTGGTTGCAAAGGAGCAGCAGGCAGTGAAGGAGCCCACACAGGACACAAGAAGGTTTGCCACTGCCAAGTTCACCAGGATGTAGTTGAGGTGGGACCGGAGCTTCTTGTGCTGGATGGTGCATGCAATGGTGAGGACGTTAATGCTAGTGCCAACTGTGAATAAAAAGAACATGAATCCTGCCATGATGTAGAAGGTGCCCGTGCCACCCAGGTGGTCCTGAGGAACCAGAAAAGGACTGAGTGATGTGATGTTGTTAGTGTCCAGGGCAACGGGTATCCAGAAGTCCTCTGGCAGCTCCATGCCACGATTTGCCCTCATTTAGCCCTTCTTAATATGAAAATCAATCACAATCAGTATACCTCCTTGCTTATGTTGTTGCTTTGCCTATATCATATAACGGTAATGAAGAATAAAACTTTCAAGAGGCAGACATTAATGCTGTGTTGTCTGTGTCCCTAAAGTCTTGTGCTGTTTTCTCGTGCTTTTGTGGAGGACTGACGTTTATAAAGGGCCAAAAGATGCTACTGATCCCAATTAAAAAGTTAATCAGTTCTACAAATGACTGATTATTGGGGTTGCATTAATTGGTGTAAGTCATTTAGTGGCTTTCCCCTCTGGCTGAGCTGCCAAAGAGGTTGCAAGCACAGATGTTTTGATAAAGTATGGCACTAGCAGACAGCTTAAGCATTACAGCTAGGATGAAGGGTTGAGGACAATGTCTGGCATGCGCTCAAAGTACAGCCAGTTGGCACATGCTGCAAATTTCATAATAAGTGTTACTGTCATTGGGTGGATGTGTCAGAGGAAGTGCTTCTTATTTGCCCAGTTCACTAAATATCAAGTGTTTTTGTTAGAAAACAGATTGATGGTTTTAAAAGAGAGGGGAGGGAGCACTCTGGTTCTGTTGGAAGAACTTTAGCACTGTTTGCAAGGGGGCACATACCCATTCCAGGTCTTTTACTGCATGGTAAATGCAAAGTGGTGCTGGGTGCTACTTGTGCCTGCTCGGGTGCCAACTTTCAAGGGCATAGAGGCAGGTGGCACCTCACGTTGGTTGCAACTATAACCTACTTACCAGAAATCCAGAGTTCAGAGCTGATCCTCTTCCAGGCTTTGTTTTTTAGGAGTGTATTAAATTATCTGTCCATTGGGACAGATCATAAAGCTCCGGAAGCCCTGTGCTATAATGATCAACTCCTTCTTCATATTTACTAGTGATATATACATGAGAAACGTGCTAAATTTAAGGGTGCAAAAATGCTGCATGTGTCCAGGCCCTGAAGGCCCTGCATTTGGGACTGCATCAAGACCAAGTTAAACAGGTTAATCCCACTTTCTTAAGGAAGAGCACAGCAGGTCTTTGCCTGCTAATCTGGTTTCCAATAACATTAATTCTGATAATCTCATGCCTTGTGGCTCTTTGTAATCCACTCTACTAGTTTAACTCAAGCTTTGTGTTACCTTTTTGGCATTTTGCCTCCTTCCCTGAGCTTAAAGGGTGCATAAGATGTTGAGAAGTGCAGAAGGTGCTCACTGCACCGTAACTCTGTCAGTCCAACAGCCCAATGCACACAGGGAGATTATACATCATTATATCAGGGGAGGCAGGTGATTTAACTAAGACTAGAGGATGAAGTTGAAATGAACAATAAAAATGCATTGAACTGCATAGGGACATAAAAAGCAACATAAAGCAGCTGTATTATGAAAAAAAAGAAAAAAAAACAGATATTGTTGTAGTTTAAAAGGAACAAAAATAACTCAGTTACCACATGGCTTTTTTGAATTTCTCACTAAATAATAAGTTACTGTCATAACACAGCTTGTGCAACAGCCTCTCACATGTCGCAATGAACATGTGCCTTACGACACAATACCCATGTAAGGAAACTGTCAACAGTCAAAATCCAGTGACTGGTTTGTTTTCCAGTATCAACAACATACAGACACCATATACATGTTTGTATTTTTTTATTTTTCACTTTGCAGATTATTTATGAGTTCTTCATTATTTGAATTGCAACATTGCATATATTTTTTCCAACACATTCTCACTTCCAACTCGTCAAATACGATGGCTTGGTCAGTGGCCCTATGACCAGTAGGGACTCCCTCTAGAGTCAGTTTTGGATGCTCGTTACATATATGGTGTCTTTTCAAAATAAACCTCTGTTTTTACAGAAACATAGGTTTTGTCATGAAAACTATTTTCGGTTTAGGCAGCAAAACTACTCAGTTAGGTTTAGAAAAAAGACTATGGTTTGGGTTAAAATTAGTATGATGTGTAAATTTACTCAACAAGTTAACAAGTATGTCATTAACGTAATATAGTTAAAAAGAGGGTCAGTGGTGACTTTTGGTTTCACACAGAACGCGAACGGTGGTCTCATGGGTGAAATTCATCTGTTCCCATCCCCTTATGAGTTTAAACTGGAATTAGCTGAAAGCCTGATACATCTCATACAGACGCTAAAGGGTGCCTTGTGCATCGGAATCACACACCAACGGCCTCTGAAGATGCTGCCGTATCCGACGCCCTGGGGATAAGAACGTGCTGATTTTTTCATATGACAAAACATGCATACATATACTGTTATTTACAATTCACAAGAGTTAGTGGCAGAGAGGTCAACAGTCTTGATGCTCAGTCTAAGCAGGTCCAACTTTGGAGACTTCAGTCACTGACTGTGTCGACGACTCTTCATCCTCACCTCCACCCATCCCCAGCATTTTCATCATGCATGAGCGGAACTGAAAAACATCAACAGAAAAACAGTTTCAAAAATATACCTTTTAACCATAACTGTAATGTATTTTCAATCAACAGGACATCCAGCTGACCTGTTTGTTGAGGAGAACATAGATGATTGGGTTGTAGACTGTAGAAGACTTGGAAAAGACAGCTGGTATAGAAGCAAATCTCAGGTCAAAAGGCTGCCCTCGGTTATTGACGACCCAAAGAGCAAAGGAGGTGTAAGGCAACCAGCACACCAGGAAGCCCAGCACCATGACGACCACCATCCTGGTCACCTCCCGCTCTGCCTTCTGGGTGGAGGCAGATTCAGCTTGGGCCTTCGCTGCCTGTTGAATGAGAGAAGTGATTTGAGCCTTATGACTTCTGCATTTTTGGTGGTCCATGAACCAAACAGTTTATTCACACAAGAGATACAGCTAGGTTTAAATTCGTTTCATAGAAATAGTTTATACATTTCTGACTAGCATCCAATAGCCAGAAAAACATTCTTTAATTCTGTTATAGTTTTCTAACTTTGTCTCACCATTTTCAGTGTGATGAGCAGCTGAGCATAGCAGAAGATAATGGTGGCCAAGGGAACAGCAAAGCAGAAGCAGAAAAGAAACATCACATAGGATTCGTTGTTGTATTTGTTGTTTGTGGTGTACCAGTCTGGACCACAGGAGCACTGCATGCCTTCTGGGATATATCTGGAGAGATGTTCACATTAGCACTGAGTGCACATGGCAGCTGTCTATCATGATCAGTGCAAATGTAAAGGTGTGTGAGTGATACTGACCTGCTCCATCCGAACAGTGGAGGAGCTGAGGCAATCAGTGCAAACACCCAGGTAAATGCACAGCAAGCTATAGCATGATCAGGCTTGAAAATAAAGTTACCAAGTGGTTTGCAGATGACCAGCCATCTTTCAAACGCTATCACAGCAAGAGACCACAGGCTTACCATACCTGGAACAAGATAAAACAGATTACTTTTTTCAGCTCATTTAAATGTACTATAATCTTATATTTCTATGTCTCAAAGTTTGTCTTACCACCAAGTGTTGCCACAAAACCTTCAATCTTGCATGCTAGTGCTCCAAAGATAAAATATCTCGATGCAAAGGAGCAGCAGGCAGTGAAGGACCCCACACAGGACACAAGAAGGTTTGCCACGGCCAAGTTCACCAGGATGTAGTTGAGGTGGGACCGGAGCTTTTTGTTTTGGATGGTGCATGCGACTGTAAGCGCATTGATGCTGGTGCCCGCAAAAAATAAAAATAACATGTACGCGGCCATTGCATAGTAGGTACTTGAGCTTGCTAGATGGTCCTGGGGGATCAGGAAGGGGCTGAAAGCTGTGATGTTGTCCGTGTCCAGAGGGACGGGGATCCAGAAGTCCTCTGGAAGTTCCGTAACACGACCGTGCTTCATTTTGCCTTTAGTGTGTCAGTGAGGAGAATCAAAGTTTGCTTTTCATGTGATGGTTAGTTCAGTGTCTCATGCACTATGGCTATGGCAGTCCATTACAGAAGACTGGCTGTACATTTATAGGGATGTCTGACAGGACATTTAATTAATTGAATTAATTGAATTGATTGATTAATTGGAGTCAAACCAGGCCAGAAGCCATTACAAGATTTCCTCATTATTCATATCCTGTTCTTATCTCATCACTGAGACACTCTCAGGTCAAAAGCAATGATGCACAGTACAATGAAACATACACACATACATAAACGCTAGACACACGTAACATATATGCACCCAAACATTTTAGCTGAATTTAGTCTCTAATTGCGCAAATCAGTTCAATTGGATCCAATCTTGAAGGAACAACATTTCTTTGAAATCAGCTAATCCACTCATCAGTGCTATTACGACTGCTAATCACATGCAATCTGTCCTCAGATAGCCTGCTTTCTGTTAGCATTAGGATGGATGATCTCTACCTTCTTTACTGAACCGGGATCAAGAAAGGATTACCTCTTTTCGCAACCCAATCGCCGTGATAAATGTTAGCATTGTGTGTTCTGCAGACCACAGCAATGTTACGTACATTTCAAGTATAGCAGATATGCCTGCCACTGTAGTTCTCCTACACACTTAGCATACAAGAGTAGTTTCAGTTTTGCAACCTCACCTCTAGATGCCACTAATTCCTACACACTGGACTCTTGAGAAACATACTTACCATTATGGAAGTTGAGCTGTAAGTCTGCACTTCCTGGCTGTGAAGGGATTTACAGTTTCTCCTGGATACAAACATATTTTATGTGCTGAACAACATCTTACATAGTGAACAGCAGATCTACAGATTTTCTACAGATCTACCTAAAGGCCACAGTGTGCCAAATATTTTAATCAGGTACCACAAAAGGTGTACAAGTGACTTGCCAAATTGCCACTTTATTTTGACAGATGGTTGTAATAACTATAGGCCCATTTCTAAGCTGCATTTGTTATCCAAGGTTCTTGAAAAGGTGGTGCTAACTCCCTTATTATTTATGTTAAACATCTTAGATGCATTTCAATCTGGATTTCACAAACAGCATAGCACTGAAACTGCTCTCCGAAGGGCCACTAATGATTTACTGATGGGTGCTGATGCTGGGGAATGTTCCATTTTATTGCTTCTTGATGTCAGTGCTGCTTTCAACACTGTCGATCATAACATTCTCATCAATAGACTAAATCCGTGTGTAGGTAGCTCTGGAACTGCTCTTAAATGGTTTGAATCGTATCTCTCAGATAGAGAATTTTCACCTTCAGCTCCACTAATGTGTGGAGTGCCACAGGGATCTATTCTTGGTCCTGCTTTGTTTTCACTTTATATGCTTCCATATGCATTATCAACCATTTTAATTAGGTATCCTACCACTGTTACACTGATGACACCCAAATCTACCTGTCCTTTAAGCCAGATAATGTTAGCTGTTTTAACCCTTTAACAGAGTGCTTCACTGCTATCAAGAAATGCATGACTTGTAATTTTCTGCAGCTAAACTCAGACAAGACAGAAGTACTAATCTTTGGCCCTGATCACCAAGCAAGGAAATTATTACAACCATTTATTGGTCCTCTGGCAACTAATATAAATTCTACAGGGAGAAATTTAGGCATCACTTTTGATTCTCAATTGAACTTTGAATGGGTCAATTATCTCATTAAATCCTGCTTCTTCCACCTAATATTGAAATATTACTAAAATTAAATCAGCAGTGTCTATTCCTGACCTAGAAAAGCTTATTCATGCCTTTGTATTCTTGCACCTCGACTACTGTAATACACTGTTTAAATGCCTCAGCAAATCTTCAGTAGCTCGGCTTCAACTTCTGCAGAATGCTACAGCTCATATTTTAACTGGGACAAATCCTAGGTCACATATCACCCCAATAATCGCCTCCCTCCACTGGTTGCCAGTTAACTTCAGAAATGATTTTAAGATTCTTTAAATAACTTTTAAAGTGCAACATAGTTCAGCACCAAGTTATATAGCTAAGCTTCTGACAACCTATGATCCAAGTCATGACCCGAGATCCTCAAGTCTACCCTCGCTAGTTGTCCCTAGATCGAGGTTAGTAACCAAAGGTGACTGGGCTTTTGCCATCAAGGCCCCACGGCTCTGGAATTCTCTGCCTGAGGAGATTAAGCTGGCTAACACATTACATTTAAATCATTCCTTAAAACATATTTTTATAGGAAAGTTTTCCTTTTTAATGACTGATTTGTAACTTTTGTGTTTCATTTCCTTTAGTTCTTTATTTTTTTACCTCCTACCTTTAGCACTTTGTGACCTTGTTTAGATAAGCGCTATACAAATACAATTATTATTTATTATTATTGATACAGGGAGGTGCAAATGAAATGTAGACAATTTTCTGCTGTAACGTTTTCTTTGTTTATAAAATGCATTTAGGTGAACTGACACCAGTGGACAGCTGAGACACATCAGGGTTTATGTCTGTGTCTATCATGTATCTCCAGCGGAACACTTGTGTTCAGAATTTCTTACTGCCTACGTCACTTCTGCTAGAAGGTCAAAGGGCCACACACACAGTTATATCCACATTTGTGCCTGTTATGCCTTTCAAAAGCCCTGTATTCTTTTTTCTCTTCTGCCAGGAAGTCCTGGTCAAGAAGAGCAGCAAAACTTAAAAAGTTTCAAAAAAGCTTCAAATATAAGTATAAACAGGGACAAATAACATTGCTAATAGGGATGCACCAAAATGAAAATTTGTGGCTGAAGCCGAATAATATTAAACGCTTGGCCAAATACCGAGTACCAAATACCGAATGCCGTTTTTTAGTTTTTCATTAGTTCTTGCAGATGAACCCCCTCCAGATTAGTGTTGTCACGGTACCAAAATTGGGACCCACGGTACGATACCAGTGAAAGTATCACGGTTCTGAGTAGTATCACGATACCACAGCAAAAATTAGGCAGATGTGCCTTTTGTCATTTATAAAAAGATAAATCATTTTTCTATAATACATCAATGATATTTCAATGGAATAAATTACTTATTGACTTATTCATACTTCAAAAACAGCATCAATAAGTGATTAACATAGNAAAATAAATAAATGAAATAAGAATCAACCAGCCACCCTCCTCCCCTGACAAGTCCCTTCATAAGTAAAGAACAGTCCCTAAAGTGCGGTGAGGTTTGTGGGCCGTTACCTGCCACTGAAAGACTAAAAGAGAGAAATGTGAACGGCTCGTTTCTCCTCTGATACGCCACATACTGTGTGCCACCATGGCTCGGCTGTTCAGGTACTTTTGGGCAGTCATGACAACAAGTTATTTACCTGGAGCCGGACTTCTCCATTGCCGGTAAGCCGTTATCATGCGCCGCCGTATTTGACAGGAATACGTATTCCTGTCCGTGTCTGTGACCCCCGTTCAACCCACAACCGGCGGGATTCGCCGTTTCGTTTCTGCTGCTGGTTGAAATCTGTACTCGCACAGCGTGCTGAATGATTTATTTTGCCCGCACAAAACTATTTTTAGTCGCAAATGCGAGTGCGGTGACGGACGGAGTAAAATATCGCCACACTGCCGACATTTACTCCGTCCGTCACCACACGCTGTTTGATTGCGTTATCAAAACACGCCGCTATTATTCGGCCTTGCTTTTCACTTATTCCACCAAATACCGAATGTGTGTTTTTTTTGCAATATTCGGCCGAATATATTCGGTTACTGAATATTCGGTGCATCCCTAATTGCTAAAAAAACACACACACACACACACATACACACACACACACACACACACACACACACACACAACAACAAACACAAAATACACAGAGATCAGGGGCTAAAAAGAATCTTGGCAAAAATGGCACTTGTTAAAAGCAATTGTTAGCTAATGTTCTAAAAAAAAATTCTGTCACATTTTTCTGATTTTCTGATGTGCCAGCCCTTTGATAGTCTGGTGAGCTGATCAGGGTGTACCTACCTCTCACCTAGTGTCAGCTGGGCTAGGTTCCAGCCCCAACCTGACCCTGAACAGGATAAGTGGTTACGGATGATGAATGAATGAACATTCTGATTTTAAAATACTTAGGTCGTGGAGAGAAACTACGACCATCTCATTTCCTTGACATGCAGAAACAAACGGGTCACTGCCCTGTATCAATGTAGAATTAAAACCTAAGACTAATAGCAGTAGACAGTGAAGAGACTTTTAGAATAAAAGGATGGTTAGGAAAACTCTGAATCCCTAAGTTCATTGAAAAATATTTGAAGTAAGTTGCCCATAAGGAGGATATAAACAATATTGGATCTAAAAGGAAAGAGATGAAGAGATGTTGTTGATATGTTTCATTGCTGATAAACACAAGAAAAAAATCTGCCAACCATCAGTTGTTCATATTGTGTACAATGATGTACAAATAATAACAAAGCAGGTTAATGAGGTTTTGAATAAGATGCCATCTCAAATAGGTTGAGGACAAAAGCAATTAGGATAATTGGCATTTAGAATAGGAAAAACAGCAGGCTTACAAGAGCATTAGGATGGGAGTTTGTTCCTTTATCATAAACACTGTCATTCACTTTGTGTGGTTTATGCCTCTGTGATTCTTCTTACATTTACACAATGCAAGGACAGCAACAAACAGTAAAGGTAGGTGGCTTATAATTTTGCTGCAAATACAGTGTTTGACAGAATAAGTAAATCCATGAATCTATACTTTTTGTCACAGGTGTGCAGCACAGATCTGTATTAATGCGGACAGGAAACAGCTAATTGTTAATGTTCAAGAGGTGTGATGACAAGACCCTGGATATGATGCTATGTGTTGTGTATAAAATGGTTCAGACTCATATTTCATAGCAGTGATGATCTTGTGTTCTCTTATCTGTGACAAATCCCTTACAACATTTGATTCTATGGTCACAAAATGTTGGTAAATAGATGTCA